ACGGTACCTCAGGCAGAAGACATCAGTCGGTTCCTACACTGCAGTTCCTGAACGACTCTGCGGCTCCACAGACCAAGCAAGCTGAAAAGCCGATCTGTTTTCTCTTTCTAAGTAAATTTCTTCTTTTGGTTTCCTTAGCAGGTTATTTGAATTCCTGTGTAGAGATACCTGAGAGGAAAGACTTGTCTGAGCCTTTTTAAGGTGGGTGGGCGGGTGGGCAGAAATAGCACATGCACATAAGCCCATAGTATAAGTTGCCATTGGGCATTAATTAACCTAGGTTCAAAGCAAACCTTGCCACAGATCACTGAGGGATTATAAAGCTCCAAACCTTAACCTATTGTTTCCACAAGGGAAAGTCAAATTAGATAAGTAAACTGCATAGACATAGAAAGATTGAGTGTAGGTCCACACTTACAGTGGCATGTAGAATACAGAAACCGCACACCCACCCTCCCTTGCATGGGTATACATAGCAGTGTAGACAATGAGGCACTGCTTTGGTGAGTAGAGTAGAGATATGCCAAAATCCTAAGGTGCCACTCACATCTACATGGCTACATTTAGCAGTGTAGTGTCCTGCTGCCTTCCCGCTGCAGGAGCCTTTCCCTGCAGCATGTAGCTGCATGTATCCTACATGCCACTGCAAGTTTGCACAAGGCCTAATTAGCCATTCTATCATTGGTGCATGTTAACTTTGTGATTTAATTATTGAGTGTGCTCATGGGCTGACTCTAGGGGCCCATTACTGGGAGGGCAAGTGGGTATTCTGGGGGCCCTGGATGTCAGTATTTAAAAAATAAACAACCTTCCAAGTGTCCATTGGCTAGTTAGACCCCTGGAAAATCTTGGATTGTAAGAATTTTTAAAAAGTCAGTATTTTGCTGTGATTTATAATTTATATAAAGGATGCACATAATGTCCGCCTTTTGGCCTTTTTGACAATAATTTGGGGCCTTATGAGATCATTTGGGGGGGGGCATATTTCCCCTCTTCCACTCCTCAGTGGAACTCCAGGTCTCTACCCATGCAATGATTTGACCAATTGCTGTTGCCAAATTGTTCTCTTTTTAGTTAACCAGTTCTAATTTGTATAATTAATGCCTTGATTGGACTACCTTGATTTATATTGTAACTTCTATCTACGGTCATTTTCATATTTTTTAGTACTTCAGGGAAGTATAAGAAATTAGCTAACCTTCTAGTTGTTTATGTTCTCAAATAAGTTATCAAACCACCCCAAATTGGATTTCTCTGTTCAAATGGTGATGAGGCAAAAACCACTTTAGTTAAAGGAATTTTAATTAAATATTAATAAAACATTTGGCTCAAGTTGTGAAAACCCTATTATTACAAATTGGCATTGTTGACAGGATACTGTATCAGTTATTAGGAGAGACATCCTTTCAAGGTGCGTAAAGGTGTCTTTGATCAGTGTACCTGTGACCCCTCTCTCTAAGATAAACAGTTTGGTAAAGAGTTAATAAGCTCCAGGCTGAAAGTTGGTCAGTGAGTGAGAAAAGAAGAAGTTGCCTTCTGATCACTGTGTTCCTAAAGCTCACCCTGTGAGGAAGTGAAACTCCCTGGTGAGAGTGCCGAAAGTGGGAGGGGGGGGTAGGGGCACACACTTCAATCAAACCAGACACAGAAGTCTGGAATAAAAGATTCCCTAAGAGTTTTGATAAAGGTGTGGAGATGAAAAACTTCCCTTTGTATTTTTTGCATTCGCCTGCAGGAAAGCTATTGTTTCAGGTTGCGGAGAAGCTGAACTTTCTCCCCCCCCTCTCAGAGGAAGACCTATCGCCTGAAGCCACGCTAGAAGAAGGCCTGTGGTCACCACACCTGGAAGAATCAAACAGTGAGTGAAGTTTTTCAGTTGTCCTTCCACCTAGTGTCCTACATTCAACACCACATTGTGATAAAGTGAATTAATTCCAGTCCCTAAAGGTGAGTCCACCAATTCATATGGAACATGAAGCCAAGGTAACTTCCTACCTTCTAGGCCATCTAGCTAGGGAGATGGGTGGGGAGAGAGGTTGGCAAGTCACAATGGGAAAGACAAGATTTCAATCAGTTTGCAAGAGACCCTCAGCTGCATCCTGAAAGATGCATTGGCAGGCATTGTATCCTAGGAAGATAGGTCCTAGTATATTGCTTGTGGTTCCACCCTACTGAACAGAGTGTTGGAGAATTTGTCAACGGAAAGAGAGATGCTAAACTCTGAGAAGTAAAAAGCTCGAGGCCTAGCGAAAGATGTAGGCAGCCTATAGGTAGAAATAGATAAAGTGGCCAAGGCTCTCAGAGGGACAAATGAAGGTTGGATATCAAACTGTGGAATGCAGAAGGGTGGGTGATGAAAATCATGAGTTGTTTTCAGAAAGAGTTACTGAGGTGGAGGTTAGGAAGATTCTTGGCAGCACCTAGACTCCCCAGTGCCCCAGAGGTTCCTGAGGTAGAGAGAACTCTTCCTGGGGATGGTCCCCCTGGACCTTAAGGTCTGGATAAATAGGAATCGAAGAAGCTAAACAGACTTTGAGAATCTTGCACCCATACGAAGGGAGCTCGACTTCATGAGCATATTACTATAGTTAAAACTTCCTTAGCAAATGTTGAAGGAGTTTCAGAAAATGATACAATGAGGTTTCCAAAGAGGACTACAAACCCCAGAGTCTGGTTGGAAACGTTATCCCCAGACATCAACCAGAATTTTGAAAAATTATGCCTTGAGCTCATCAATTATTATGCATAGGTGCTGAACCCCACCACTTTGGTTTACAAGCCTAGGTTGCATAAGGATGACACCCCCAAGTCCTTTTATCCAGCGATGAGATAGGTTTGCTTCAAATCTAGTGGTGCTGTGGGTCTGGACCAGCACTCCCATCTGAGATAATTTTATATCTGGTATAGTTACCAGCCTATATCAGAGAAAGAATAGAGTAGATTATAGAGCCAGATAAAACCACCATGAGGCAAATTGTCATGCTAGCCCAGAAGGTGTGGGTGACAAGAGGCATGTCCCAGCGAGGCAGAGAAAAGACCTCTGATTTGCCAAAAAGGACAGAGGCCAGGGAGTGAACAGGCTTGTTTTAATCCCTCTTGGCAATTGCTTTCACTGGGTTGAGACCCGGAGGATATCCCTTCCTGAAAATTCAGTCCAGGGCTGTTATCTCCTGGTGACCAATTTCACCCTACAGAGATACATCTCTCTGCTCCCAGTGAAACTGGCCACCTAATTGTTGGTTTTGAGCTCAACATTCCTATAATTGGGGTGTTGCCAGAAGTGATGTTACAGGGTAGAAACCTGGGAGAGAGAGTGCAGAAGTACCCCTCCATGATCCAATTCCTCTGAAACCCCTTTGGGAAGATACTACCATAAAGTAACTAGTAATGATGTGGGAAGGGATGGCATGATGCTTTCAGGAAAATATTTCTTAGTCAACCCCCCACAACACACACACACACACTTCTGAAAATCAATGCAATGCAAAAATACCTCAGTCACCCACCCTTGGCCTTTGAACAATAAGTAGAGGGAAAGGTACAATTGGCATATGCTCTAGAGCAGGGGTGGCCAACCTGTGGCTCCAGAGCCACATGCGGCTCTTCAGAAGTTAATATGCGGCTCCTTGTATAGGCACCGACTCCGGGGCTGGAGCTACAAGCGCCAACTTTCCAATGTGCCGTGGGGTGCTCACTGCGCAACCTCTGGCTCTGCCACAGGCCCTTCCCCCATTCTACCCCTTCCCTCCCCCTCCCCTGAGCCTGCCATGCCCTCACTCCTCCCCCCCCCCCCAGCCTCCTGCACTCCACGAAACAGCTGATCAGGAGGTGCAGGGAGGGAGGGGGAGGCACTGATCGGCGGGGCTGCCGGTGGGTGGGAGGCACTGGGAGTGGGGTGGGGGAGCTGATGGGGGGCTGCTGACATATTACTGTGGTTCTTTGGCAATGTACATTGTTAAATTCTGGCTCCTTCTCAGGCTCAGGTTAGCCACCCTTGCTCTAGAGAATGATTGGCAGAGGGAAGAATTGACATAGCTATCGACAGAATTCTGTGAAATCTCTGCAAAGGACTCTTGTGACTAGAGAAACTAGCCTCAGGAAATTAAGATTTCCACAGAACCAGGAGTGCCCCCAGTTTTCATAAGGCAGTATAGAATACATTGGCCATTTATGAGTCTATGCAAAAGACATTAGATACACCCATATATTATTTTCCTTTCTAAGAGTGTAATTCCACCTTTAATAGCCCAATCTGGCCTATTGTAAAGCCCAGTGGGACCTGGCAGCTCATGGTAGACTCTAGACAGCTTAATAAATGAGTACCATTATCCCAATGACCAATGGGGTACACAGATCAGAGGAAAGCTCTCGTGTCCGAGGCAAAAATCTTCTCTGCTCTGAATATAGCAAATGGGTTTTGGATGCTAAAAACAGATCCAGGTGATCAACATAAATTGGCCTTTTCATTCAATCACCAAGAGTTCACCTGGAAAAGGTGCATCTTCGGATACTTTAATGCCCCTGCAGAATATACAGTAACTCCTCGCTTAACGTTGTACTTATGTTCCTGAAAAAAGCTACTTTAAGCAAAACGATGTTAAGTGAATCCAAGTTCCCCATAACAATTAATGTAAATGGGGAGGTTAGGTTCCAGGGAAATTTTTTTCATCAGACAAAAGCCATTATATACTTATACAGTATAAGTTTTAAATAATTTTAAACAAACTACTTAATACTGTACTCACCAATGATGATTGTGAAGCTTGGTTGAAGCGGGGCATAGTGGGGTCAGGGCATGGGGCTGGAGTTCTGATTTCGCTACAGTTCGTTGCAGGTCACCTTAACAACCTTGTTTTCTGTACCGATTCTACCTGCATAAGACAGATTTTTTTAACAGTAAGAGCATATGCACATAAGCCCATAATATAAGTTACCCTAGGTCAGGCTGAACTACTCAGGGGTGGATTGACTCTGCTTTACCCTCCCCAACACAGAAGGCTATGGCAAAAAGAGTTGCAGTTATTGGAGCAGGGGCCAGTGGCCTAACAGCCCTTAAATGCTGTTTAGATGAAGGACTCCAGCCAACGTGCTTTGAGAGAAGTGAAGACATCGGGGGACTGTGGCGGTTCCAGGTAAATTGAGTTTGTCTCCAGGGTCTTGCATTATAGACAGCATATAAGCCAAGGGGTTCCGAATACTCCAGTTCCTCCTGCACAACCAGACATGTCCCTTCTCAAATAGAAATGAGCAGGGAGATTGCTGACTGCATTGGAAAATGCCTATTCTCTATGCGGCGATACACACAGCAGTGTTGTTCCTCAAATCAGAGTGGGCTTCCCATACAAAGGAGACTGCTTGCTGCATGATTTTTCTATGCATATACCTTTTTAATATCATAAATGGAGGAGGGAAGAGAGGATTCTGAGGATAAGTGAGATCCACCAATGCCCAAGAATCATGCCATTATGGGAAGTGAATTGAGTAAGGTATGCCTACTAGGGCTGGTCAAACATTTTCTATCAATATGATTTTAAATTGGGTTTTTGACTGTGGTGGTGATCAACAGCAAGGATGAAGCAGTGAGATGGAGTTCAGAGGGATTTAAAAAATATCAAGGTTGATTTTAAATTAAAAAGGGCGGGGGAGGAGGGGGAGCACCAACCAGGAATACCTTCCATACCACAACTCCAGCAGGCCCAGCATCCTCCAGATGACACTTCCCCCTGCAACTCTGACTCCCAGCTGGAAGAGAGGGAGTTTTATAGAGGGCTTCACCACCCAGAATCCTTTGCAGGCAATGACAAGTCCCCGCGGGTCTCTCTGGGTGATTGACCGCCCATCCAGCAAATCAGCTCTTTCCCTCACTCCTTGCTCTCTAGGCGCTTCACGTTCACTAAATGATTTGTTGAGAAAATGACATGGGGGGCAGGGAGGAGAAAAAGCACTTTCCAGCAAGCTCTAATGCATACCTTATTGGCATTAGCCTAGGAGGGTCATGTGGCTAGAGCATAGGCATGGGAATCAGGACGTTGGAGTTTTGATCCCTGCTCTCCCACACATTTCCTGTGTGATCATGCTTTGCCTCCGTTTCCCCACCAGTTACAATCATAGAATCATAGAAATGTTGGGTTGGAAGGGACCTTAAGAGGTCGTCAAGTCCAGCCCCTTTTGCTGAGGCAGGATCAAGTAAACCTAGACCGTCCCCAACAGGTGTTTGTCCAACGCTTTCTTTAAAACCTCCAATGATAGGGATTCCACAACCTCCATTGAAAGCCTATTCCAGTGCTTAAGTACCTTTATAGTTAGAAAGTTTTTCCTACTATCTAACCTAAATTTCTCTTGCAGCAGATCTAAGTCCATTACAACTTGTCCTACCTTCAGTGGACATGGAGAACAATTGCTCCATGTCTTCTTTATAACAGCCCTTAACATATTTGAAGGCTGTTATTAGGTTCCCCCCTCAGTCGTCTTTTCTCAAGACTAAACATGTCCAGTTTTTTAAATCTTTCCTCATAGGTCAGGTTCTCTAAACCAGTGATCATTTTTGTTTCCTCTCCTCTGGATTCTCTTCCATTTGGGCATATTTTTCCTAACGTGTGGTGCCCAGAATTGGACACACTACTCCAACGGAGGCCTCACCAATCCCAAGTACAGTAAGACAATTACCTCTCATGTCTTACTTATGGCACTCCTGTTAATACATCCCAGAATATTAGATTTTTTTTACAGCTGCATCACATTGTTGACTAATATTCAATTTGTGAACCCTAGATCCTTTTCAGCAGTATTACCACCTAGCCAGATATTCTCCACTTTGTAGTTGGGCATTTGGTATTTCCTTCCTAAATGAAGTACCTTGTACATGTCTTTATTGAATTTCAGCTTGTTAATTTCAGACCAATTCTCCAATTTGTCAAGATCGTGTTAAATTCTACTCATGTCCTTCAAAGTGCTTTCACTCCTCCCAGTTTGGTGACATCTGCAAATTTTATAAGCATGCTATCCACTTTGTTATTCAAGTCATTAATGAAAATATTGAATAATACCAGAGCCAGGACTGACCCCTGAAAGATCCCACTAGATAGCCCTCCCAGTTTGACAGCACACCATTGATAACTTCTCTTTGAGTGTGGTCTTTCAACCAGTTGAGAACCCACTTCATAGCAATTTAATTTAGATCACATTTCCCTAGGTTGCTTATGAGAATGTCATGTGGGACTGAGTCAAAAGCCTTACTAAAATCAAGATATTTCATGTCTATGCTTGCCCCCTATCTACTAAGCCAGTAATCATGTTAAAGACAAAAATTAAGTTGGTTTGGTATGATTTGTTCTTGACAAATCCATGCTGGCTATTGCTTATAACCCTATTGTCCTCTAGATGCTTACAAATTGATTGTTTAAACATTTGTTCCACTATCTTTCTTGATATCAAAGGTAGGCTGACCAGTCTGTAATTCCCAAGGTCCTCTTTGTTTCCCTTTTTAAAGATAGGTATTACGTTTGCCCTTCTCCAGTCCTCTGGGACCTGACCTGTCCTCCCTGAGTTCTCAAAGATAATTGCTAATGGTTCTGAGATTGCTTCAGCTAGTTCCTTAAGTACCCTTGAATGAATTCCATTAGGCCCTGCTGACTAGACAACATGTAACTTTATTGAAATATTCTTTAACCTGTTCTTTCCCTGTTTCGACTTGCATTCCTTCCCCCTTGATGATAATTGTTTTGAATATCTGGTCACCATTAACCTTTTTAGCAAAGACTGAAGCAAAATAGGCATTGAACACCTCAACCATTTTGATGTCATCCGTTATTAGGTAGGAAGTTACCGTTATTAGCAATCACTAAGTAGAGAATCTACATTTTCCTTCATCTTTCTCTTGCTCCTTGTGTATTTAAAGAATCTCTTCTTATTGCCTTTTATGTCACTTGCTATATGTAACTCCTTTTGTGCCTTTTTTGATTTTGTCCCTTCATGCTTGTACTATTCTTTTGTACTCCTCTTTAACAATTAGGATAATATTTCCCTACCTTCCAGGAGTGATATGAGCTTTTATTTTTTAATGGTCATGAAACACTGAGATCCTTGAATGAAAGTGAAAATTGCCAGTATCCATGTCCTGTCTGTATGCCCCAGGGGACATTCCTTCTCAGCTCCAAACATGGAGATCAGTTGACCTCTTAAAACGTGAACAATAACTAGGCATGTTGTTTATATCCAGATATATTGATTTCTACTAAGTAATGGTCCCTTTCTCTGTTTTCCTGTGCTTTGGAGAACTGCAAATGTCTTTTACAATCTAGAAAACTCTAGCTAAAACAAAACATCTGTCTTGATTTTATTCTGAAGGTGATCATTGTAAGTATAGTCTGTGAAATATAGTAGATACCACCTGGTTGAATAAGATTTCTGAGACAATAATGTAGCACAGCCAAATTGTTTGGAATATTTAGTATCTATCAACTGGAAGCCGTAGTGAACAATATTGCTCTTTACTTTCAGGAAGGCATAGTTCTGAGGGGAATTTCAAATCCCACAGGATACATGTGAGCTTGAAAATTCCTGACCTTCACCTGTAGTGGTTTAAGTCCTGTTGAGTACTACCCCTGTAAGATTGGCTTGAGGGGAGGGCTTTTTTTTTTGTCAAGAATGATATAAGGAGTTTTCAGAATTCATATATGGGGGGGGGGACATAAATTCCTGTTCAGCTATTGACAAATTCTGCCAATGACTCCAATTTTTCCCTCTGTTGTAAAAATATAGTGTCCACAATCTTGACTGAAATCTTCAGGTTTCACTCCATTTCCGAGGGTAGTATTTACAGCAAAAGGTGAACAGCATCCATTGAACCAAAACTCCCATTCCCTCTAAAACATTACACAAATCACATCCGAGCCAGACAGGTTTAGAAATGTTTGCTCGTTCTTTTTTGCATTGCTTCTTCCCTTCTGGGTTCCAGCTGGGGCTGGAATTGGAAGTGGTGAAATGGTGTAAAAGCATGTCTGTCCTCATAAAATTTCCAGCCTAGATTTTCAGACTCGTGAATGAGGTTGAGTTAAGCATCCCAACTTTGGGATGTTTTTATGTCAAGCAAACTTGAATGGTGAACCTTTTTGTATTGCCTCTGGATTAAATATTTGAAAATCCTGTCCTGGTTTGGTTGTTTCCTGCAGGAGTGTGATACGGATTGGAAAGCCAGTATTTATAAATCTGTGACCATTAACACTTCCAAGGAAATGATGGGTTACAGCGATTTCCCCATCCCAGAGGACTACCCTAACTACATGCACAACAGCAAAGTCATGGACTACTTCAGAATGTACATCAAGCATTTTGATCTTTTCCAATACATACGCTTTAAGGTATGAAAGAAATGACATCTCTTTGGAGGTATGGAAGTCAAGTGCAGCTCTGTGGGCTAACTGCTCCCCCTAATCCAATAAATTTGATGACATTACATGGGATGCTGCGATATTATCACACATGACATTATGTGACATGGTCACCAAACAGTGTCTTGCGTGGTGATATTTCAGCAAAGCTGAATTACATCAGCTCTCCTGGAAGGCTGAATAGTAGCAATAGATAGCAAATCTAGAGCTACTCAAAAAGATTTTCCTGCCCTGCTCCTCTGTCAAGTTGTCCTGCAGTGGTTCATGAGCATGAGTACCAACCTCAGAGCAACTGTTAAGTAGCAGGGCACAAACCCCAAACTGGCTGTGAGTTCTATACTTAGATTTCATCAACCATGTATCAAGTGTAAACTCCTCAGGCATTTTAACAGTCTTAACATAGAGCCACAGACAGTCCCCTTGGGTACTCCGATCTATCTTGCCACCTCGGCAAGCTTGCCTTTTACCTTCCACCAAAAATCACAACAATATTCAGCTAACTCCCTGGATCAGTCACTTTCCCCAGATCAGTTGCACCTTCGATCTCACACCAAAGCCAACATTTGTAGCCAATCCTATAATAAACTATCTAAAGATTTATTAACGAGGAAAAGGAAATAGTTATTTACAAGGTTAAAGTATGTAAACATAGACACACAAATGAGTTCCAATCTTAAGTTTCAAAAAGTAATAGAAGCTGTTATGATAAACAAGCTTGATATGTCCTTTAGGGCTAACCCAGGCCTGGGGATCTTTTGCTCATGCGTAGTAATCCTTGCCCTTCAGAGTCCAAGAAGCATAAAAGATACAGTTCCTCCTTGTTAGGGCTTTTTATTCCTTCCCTCGTCTGTTTTGAGTTGCAAATTCAACTGTTGGGAGGAATTCAATTGCACATCTCTTCATTAGGGAGAGTAATTAACACAGTCTTTTGTCCTCTGATGTTCCACAATGGTTTGTCTGGTGTTGATGGGTCTTCATTTGATGGGCAGCTCATAACACCTCCTGTTGGAAACTTGTATTTCAGTCTCATTAATAGTTCTCTCCTGTCTGGTGATTTACAGTTACAGAACAAACACTAAATATTACCTTATGACATGGAATACAGATGTTATTCCTCAAGAGCAAGTGGTTAGCTTTGATGTCCTGAATTACTCACATTGTCCTTACCCTCAGACAGATATTTACAACCACATGCAGTATCTTGGGGGACTGTGGTATTAACTTCCTGAATATTATCTGTATATGTTATCTAGATCTCTGTGAGCCAAGGATTGTCATCTGGCCAGGAACTAGAATCAAGGAGGGGGCGGGTAATTATGAAGTCCCAGGAGCTGTAAATACCTCCAGCAAAGAACTAGCCACTTGGATGGTTTTCATACACTGGTTCGAGTCAGGCTCAAGAGAGCCAAGAGTCAGAGCTTGGGATATAGAGGGCCAGCTTGACTTGATAGACAAGCCTTCATTTTAATCTAGCAAACGGATGTGACCTTATGTACAAGGGGGGGACCAAACCCATAGGAAGGACTGGAATCTGCCAGGACTGATGGAGAAACTGGCAAGCTTAAATATGCATTTAGGCTCTTTTAGTTATTTTATATGTACTCTGTAATGTTTATATCCTAAAATAAATGTACTCTGCTTTGAAAGAGCTATCTGGTTACTGATAACTGCCTGCATATGCTTGTCATAGCCCCTGGAGAGGGAGCAAAGCGCAAGGGCTGGACTTTAGTCAGACCTGCTGAGAGAAACACAGGGAAGTGCAGACGGGCTGTAGCCTAAAGTTCATGGTCAGAAGGAAGGACACGGGTCTCTGCCCAGAGGGAGGTGACATGGGGTATTCCTGGAGCAGACCGTGAAGGGGGGTGTCAAAGGTGCAGTTACCCCAAAACTGTGATGGCTGGTTCCCGGTATATTAGTATGTATACTGGTTTCCCTGTACTTTTCTCCATGCCTCCAGCTATGCCTGCATAAGCTGTCATTCAGACAGTTCTCCTTTGCCTGACTGGCTTTGGGTGTGTGGCTTCTTGGCTTTCTCATACCGCATACTTCAGCATGAATAGAGGAACAAAATAAAGCCAAGTCAAAGTAAGGGGTTGTCTGCTTTTCTTCTAGACAAGCGTGCTCAGTATAAGAAAATGCTCCGATTTTTCCACCACTGGCCAGTGGGATGTTGTCACAGAGACAGACGGGAAGCAGGATTCGGCCATCTTCGATGCCATTTTGGTTTGCACTGGCCACCACATAGATCCTTACTTACCCCTGGAATGCTTCCCAGGTCAGTGGGATACTAAGTATCAAGTCTCTTGGTGATTGGGATGTGACCCGGTCTAACTGGGAATGAACAGACTGAAGCGGTTCAGATAAGGGGGCTATTAAGGGTGGCTACGCAGCCCTAGAGCTTGTGAATCTTTTCAAAGGAATTCATAATCTTCTAGTTTGACCTCTTGCACATTTCAGGCTATAAAACCTCACCCACCCACTCCTGTAATAGACCCCTAGCCTCTGGCTGAGTTACTGAAGCCCTCAAATCATGACGTAAAGACTTCAAGTTACAGAGAATCCACCATTTACACTAGTTTAAACCTGCAAGTGACCCATGCCCCACGCTGCAGAGGAAGGTGACCCCCCACCCAGAGTCTCTGCCAATCCCAACCTCAAATATGGTGATTAGTTAGACCCTGAGCATGTGGGCAAGACCCACCAGGAAGATACCTGGGAAAGAATTCTCTGTAGTAACTCAGAGTCCTCCCCATCTAGTGTCCCATCTCCAGCAGTTGGGGATTTTTGCTACTGGCAGTCACCAGTGGGCCAGATGTCATTGTAAGCTGTCTCATCATATCATCCCCTCCATATACTTATCAAGCTCAGTCTTGAAGCCAGTTAGGTTTTTTGCCCCCATTGCTCCCCTTGGGAGGCTGTTCCAGAACTTCACTCTTCAGATGGTTAGAAATCTTCACCTCATTTTGAGCCTAGTCAAACTATAGAGGGAGGCAGGGTCAGCAGAAGCACACCCTGCTCATGTATATTGTCCTTCCCTAGGTCTTGTCCCATTTTGTGCTGAGGGCAAAAATCTTTGAGTCCTTAACCCAAAAGCAACATCCAGTTAGAAGGGCTCTGCTCCTGGAAGCTGAGGGAGCTGGGGGCGGAGGGGTGGGATGGATTTCAAGCCTTTGAACCAGAAGCAAAGTTTTGGGCGCCCAGGTCTCTGGGCAACATCCAGCTATAGTTAGGTCTGAGAGGAGTTTTGGTTATGGCCTGATGCTCTCCTCCCTCAGTGATGTAGACCTGCTGTGTGTGGATCTAAAAACCATACACACACCTTCGTAGTGACCCTACAGACACTGTTGTCCCGCATGGAGATATTCCCTTATCCAGAGCCTCTCCATGGACTTTCTCACACCCTCTCCAGGCACTGGAGATGCATCTTGGCCAGGTGTAGAAGTGCTCCTTTTTATATAATGACTTCCTGGCTGAGTTTTCACCTTCTGGTTTCTTCTCCCTTTGCAGGTGTAGAGAAGTTTAAAGGAAAAATAATGCACAGCCGGGAATACAAGTATCCAGAAGAATTTCGGGACAAGAGAATGGTTGTGGTTGGCTTGGGAAATTCTGGAGTAGATATTAGTTTGGATCTCAGTCACACAACCAAACAGGTACTGTTGGCTATCACCTTCCAGCAATTTCAGCCTCAGAGGTTGGATGGTGCTGAGTTGTTTTATTTAGCTACTGGGTATGAATAAGACTTGTTCTTATCCGAGTCTCTGCTGAAGATTTTTCTTCCTATTCTGCCTCTGATATGACTGCACAAGTTCCATTCACACTGAGTCTTCATCTTGCAGCATGTAAGGACAGTACTGACAGTAATGGTCCAATAATATAATTGCAAGCTGTAGAGCTAAATTTATTCCTGATGTACACCACGTGTGCCCATCCCAGCCCCATGCTAACAGTGCATGCAACTCAGTATGGACCCACTGCCATGCAAATGGTAAGAAGGCAGAAATTGTAACTGATCTTACTTTACAAATACATCTTAGCCTTAAAGTCACTTTAGAGCGTAACACAGCTTGGACCCAATCTGAGTCCCATTGAAGTCAGTGGAAAGGCTCCCACTGACTTCAATGAGCTTTGGATCAGGGTCTACTGTAAGAGGCAGTGTTTTGGACCATCACTGTAGGATACCAAATGACCTCTTAAGGTCTTTGGAATGCAATTTTTGTCCAGGAAGCTGTAAATAAAAGAAAAGGGGCAGTGTCTTAAACTGAAGTGATTTCAGATATTCAGCATGGCTTATTGTCCACTTGTTTGATTCCCAGAACTACCACAGACATTCACTGGGGTTCCCCCAGACTAGGAAGGGGAAGCATAGATCCTAAGGAATTGCTAAGCATTTATCTGGGAAAACCGATTTAGTTACAGCCACACTTAAAAGGGGGAGTAACAAATTGGGGCAAACGTCTACTGTTGGGTCAACTCAGCGGATCTCCTCTCTGCTGCTCTGCTCACCCTCATTTTGTAGGAAATCCATGGTGAGAATTACTGGGTGAATCTGAGAAGAATTTTGTCCTTAGTCTTTTAAAATGGGCCCCAATCCTGCAGTTTCCTAATCTTTACTTAGCCATCTCAACGAGAGTTTTCCCTTAGCAAGTGGCAAGCAGAAATTACCGTCTGATACGCAAAACCTGTTCATCTTACTGTTACCTTATCCCACCTCCCCCCCTTTCCACGTCTCTTTCATTCACTGGTCGTGTGTTGTCCTCGTTCTAAACTGCAAGCTCTCTGGAGTGAAAACTGTCTTCATCACCTTTGTTTGTACAGTACCTAGTGCAAGAGAGCCCAGATCTTTGAGGTGGGCCCCAAGGCAGCACTGGAATACAAATGATGATGATAAATTAATTCAGTGGGATTTTTGCCTGAGGAAGGATTGTAGGATTGGATCCATTTTGTCTTTTTTTTATGTAAAACATATTCATTTTTATTCACCTACAAAGAGAGGCCAAGCCATCCCACCGTGATATCCCCAAATGATACTACTTGCTTAGCAATTAAACTAACCCCAAGTAGCCTGCACCTCGCAAGCAGACAGGTACAGGCACAGAACAAAGAGCAAAAGCCCTGACCTGTTGCATTTCTGCATCTCTTCCGGCAGGTATTTCTCAGCACCAGGACGGGCGCCTGGGTGGTGAATCGTGTCTCTGACAACGGCTTCCCCCTCGACGTGGTACACTTCACACGCTTTAAAAATATGCTGCGCCACATCATCCCTTTGTACCTGATGAACCGGTGGGGGGAGAACAAGCTGAATGCCAGGTTTAACCATGAAAACTATGGACTGAAACCTAAATTCAGGTAACGCCTCTATTTCAGGACTCTCACAGTCATGGGCATTTTATGGGTAAAATTTTCTAAAAATCCTAAGTAACTTAGTTTCTTAAGTCCCATTTTCAAAAATGATTTAGGCACTTTGGAGCCAAAGTCTCACTGAAAGTCAATGGAATTTTAGGCTTTAGGATGCAGTTGGGTCATGTTTTCCAGCTTTTCCTCACAACCATGAGGGCTAGAGACGTACTTTTTCTTAAGGAAAGCTGAGGTTCCCGCCTGATCACTTAACTCCAGCAGCTGTGGCTTGTAGAAAAACCTCTAATATCGTGAGACTTGCAAGAAAATCATGAGAGCTGGTGACACTGTAACATGTGACTTTGCACTTCAAGCTGGGGAGGTAATTCCCAGCTCAAGTAGATGTACCCGCGCTAGCTTTGGTCACATTACCATGCTAAAAATAGAGTGTCGCGTCAGCAGTGGGAGGGACTGGTCATGTGAGCATGTGCATAGTGTCTTGGACTTGTACTGGGCATGGTTGAATGAGGCCTCACAAACCTCCTGTGAGGGAAGTGAGTGGTGATGTTCCCATTTCAGAGGCTGGTAAAATGATGCCCACAGGGTGGAGATCCACAGCCCAGGACGGAAATGCTCACAGACTCAAGATCCAGGACTGAACTTCGCAGCTCAAGTCCGTCCCTCACAGACTTTTAAGTTGCTTGCCCAAGGTCACTGGCCAAGCCAGGAGCAGAAATCAGGAGGCCTCTGTCTAAATTCCCTGCACTAAGCACAGGGCCGGCTTTGGCTTTCTGGCCGTCCCAAGCAAAAAAAAACCGCGGCGGCCAGAACAGCAAAGCAAAAAAAAAACCAACCCTGCGGCGTGGCCGGAGCCAGGGTGCAGGGGGACTCCCTGCCCTGAAGATGTGCCCCAGCTAGCGGGGGGAGGGGAGGGAGCAGGGGGAGAGCGAGAAGGGGGGCGGCCAAGGCTTCAGCGGGGCACTGCCACGCGGCCCCTCCCGCCGTGCCCCCTGCCGGGAGGGCTCCGCACCGCTCCTGTCGGCTGGGAGGGAAGGACATAGGCTGCCCTGCCGGGATTGCTGCAGGGCGCTCCCGTCCTCCACGCCGCTGCCCCCTACAGGGCGGCTGGAGCGGAACAACAAAAAACAAAAAACAAAAAGCGGCCGTGCCGCCCTAGGATTGGGCGGAATGCCGCCTCCTACAAGCTGCCGCCCCAAGCACCAGTTTGCTCGGCTGGTGCCTGGAGCCGGCCCTGACTAAGCACTAGACAACTATCATGTCTACAAGAACTTGGGCAGAGAAGCCCCCCAGGGGGGTTAGGCACTCTACCCCCTTGGCACAGGGTGGCCAGCCCCTGTAAGTGAAGTGGGTCCACTCCCCTGACGACTGAGGCTGGGCCCTAATGAGGGGCAAGGTGACGCCGGAGTTAAGAGCAAGAAGAAAGCTGTAGGGAGGGAAGAATGCGGCAAATGGGCAGCTCCAGAAAGGGGCTAGGATAGGTCCTGGGGCAAGGCCAGGCTCCTGGGAGTGGCCCACGGCTTGTGTCTCCGGAAATAAAGAACCAGAAGTAGGAGGAGGAAGCTGCTTGGAATCCTTTGGAAAGAAGGTAGCGCCAAGGAGGGGCAGATACGGACTGGGAAAGACTGCAATTACCCTGGGATGGGAGCTATCATTTTAGTTGACTTTCACTGGCAAAGGAGCAATGAGGGTCTTTGCCCAGGAAGAGGGAGTTGAGTCCCTGAAGAACTCGGTGCAGAGAAGTGGGACATTAAGGTTTGCTTGAAGATTGTGGACAGTTATTTGGAAGACTAGTAAATAAACTTACACATGGGTGCTTTCTGTGCTAAAATGGTGTCAGAGTAGTAAGTGCCAGGACCCTCAACCAGCAGACGGTGCTCAGGGATAGCTGCCCCCTGCGACAGGGTGCCTAATAAATCTAGGTATCTTTGACCATTTTAGCCTTAGCGAATGCCTACACTGAAAGCGCAGATGTGGCTGTAGCCCAGGTAGGCATACCCACACTGGCTTTAATCTAGCAGGCAGGTGTAACAACGGTAGTGAAGATATGGCAGAAAAGGCTTCAGGACAGGCTGGCTAGCAACCTGAGTAAGCACCCAAGATAAGTAAGGGTGCAATCCTGTGCCACCCTGCTTTCACTGCTATTGTTACTCATGCTATGTCTACACTGCCATTGGGAGGTGTGATTGCAGCTCAGGAGGGCAGATCTGAGCTAGCTTTGCTCTAGCTAGATCATCGCAATCAATGGAAGGGAAGAATGTGGCAAAAGGACAGGCAGCAATAGCAATGTTGCCATGGCAGTGGGGGCAGTGAAGGGGCTAGTCTTCTGAGTACAATCCCCACCCCAGGACCCCAGGTACATACTTGAGCAGGTTGCCCGTACCGCTACCCCACATTGCTGAAGCTATCCCCGGTATTATTACATTAGTGAGCTTTGAGCTTGCTACAGCAAAGCTAGCTCAGGTATCTCTACATGTGCTGCAGTCACACATCTCAACTGCAGCATAGACATACCACTAGATTAAAGCTAGGACAGGTATAGCTACTCACACTGCAATCGTACCTTCTCTTGAGTCTCCACTGTTCTAACCCAGCACAGCCTATTCACACTCAGTTCTCTCCTCCTTCCTGACCTTACAGGTTTCTCAGCAAGTACCCGATCGTGGGGGACGACCTGCCCAACGCCATCGTTTCTGGTCGGGTGCTGATGAAGCCCAATGTGAAGGAGTTCACCGACACGGCTGTGATTTTTGTGGACGGGAGCCGGGAGGAGAACATCGACGTCGTGCTCTTTGCCACAGGATACAACTTCTCCTTCCCCTTCTTGGAGGAGAATGTCCTCAGAGTCAGCAACAACCGTGTCCCCCTGTATAAGTTCGTCTTCCCTCCACACCTGGAGAAGCCCACGCTGGCTATCATCGGCCTCCTCCAGCCACTGGGGGCCATCATGCCCATTGCGGAGCTTCAAGCTCGCTGGGCCACCAGGGTCTTTAAGGGTAAGAAAAATAAGCACCAGAGGTTCTCCGCTTGCCACTCTGCTAACACTTCCCAGCAGCATTCCATACATTTCTCAGCATCTCCCATACTTACGGTGATGAGCCTAGTCTGAGAACCTATATAGACCGCCATAGACCCAATACAAGAGCTAAGCAGAGGTGCGAGGCTGATTTGAAGGAGAAGGCTGAAATCCATGCTTGATAGTTCCCCATGGGCCAGGGTATCAAATCAAGAGAGGCAGTGTGGCCTAGTGGATAGAGTGGAGGCCGGGGACTCAGGAATGCTGGGTTCTATCCCAGCCCTGTCAGTGACCTGGGGCACATCATTTCATCTCTCTGGGGCGGAGTTTCCCCCTTTGCAAAATGTAACGATGAAAAGTGCTGCGTAAGAGTGACTGTTGTTGTTACAGATACCAGTGAGGGGTAAATACAGCCTTTACTTACGAACTTAATGTTCAGTTATATGCTCAGTGCCTTATTGCCATGTTCATCACTTGGTCAATCTACTTCCTGGTAGGCCACTGCTACTCCTGCTCCTTGTTTCTCTTCCTGCCTCATCCTCCATTAGCTATTTCTCTCCCTTTCATGTCTCTCTTCTGTTCTTCCCTCTGCACGTCCTTTCCTGGAGCGAATCTCAATTCCCACCCTGCTTGGCTTCTCACTGCCTTTTGCCCCTTCCATTTCCTCAAATGAGCGGCCATGCAATAGTTAATGTTGACTCTGAAGGGTCATCGTTGGGTTTTACAGCTGGCATGACAAGGTGATTAACAGGGGAGTTTACCCCTCTGAGTCATTGTTTCAGGCTGGCTGCAGATATTCGGATTACGACAGTCACAAGGGTTAGAAACTTATTTTATTTAAAGTTGAGATTCAAGCAATCTGGATATATCACGTCAGCTTAATAAATACCAGCTATAGGCCATATACTTAGCAGGCCACTCTCTAGCCTAGGAGAACCATCTGAACTGGATAGGAAGATGGGGCTGTAGCTAAGCTAATATCCTGGCAGGCTCTGAGCACAACGGGGGCAAGAGGAGGCACGGCCAGGCTGTTTTTATACCCTGGGGATTTGTGCACTCTGCTAAAGCAACTGACGCAGGGTCGCTAGGGTCTCAGCAGCTCCCAAACAGGGCAAAGATAAGCCACTTGCCATCTGCCCCTGCATAGGCAGTTTCAAAACTTAACAAAGGAACCGCATTATAAAGCAGATGATGCACCTGAGCTGAACTATGTGGCAAAAGGAAGGGAACAAACAAAAAGTTTCCCAGTCTTATGAAGTGAGGGAAGGTTTCTTGTTCAGTGGTGCCCTATTAGAAGGGAAGTGTGGTCTTGTGAGCAGAGCAGTACAGTGGAAGTCAGGATCCCTGGCTTTTTTCCCCAGCTCCACCTGTCTGTCTTGCTTATATTTTTGTGCTTCCACCCATCACCCTAGTAGCTGAGCATATAAAATAGATGAGCGATAGCATGGTTCCTAGTCAACACCATGGAATCTCTGATTCATCTCCCTGTTCAGGTTATAGGAAGCTCAGTTTAAGGACAACTGTGCCACTGCTTCAATGTGTGACCTTGAGAAAGTCACTTAACTGCTCTCTACTTCATTTTACCCATCTGTAAAGGGCAAGTAAAAATAGACACAATGGTGTTGTGAAGTGTCCCTTATCAGAGGTTGTAAAATGCTTGGAGATCCAGAAAGAATCACCCTGTCTAAACGCAAAATATTCTGCTTTCTCAGGTCTGCTTAAGTTACCTTCACTAGATGACATGATGGCCGACATTGCCAAGAAGATAAAGGAGAATGAGAAACGGTAGGAGACTATTATATAGAATGATAAAATGTTGATCATGGTGAGCAGTGGTGACCAAGGCAACCGTTGCTTCTTTGTGTAATGCAGCCGTGTATCTCTGCCTCCCCCTAGTGGCTGGACTGTCTAAAGAGGTTTGAGTTTCTTCCCACCTACAAGCAAGGCATGCGGTCCTTTGATTCAAGTAGTAGAGCCTTTTGTTTTAGGTTCCCTGGTTCAATCCCTACAGATGGACCTGCCCAGGCGTATTGTGTGTCTCTCACTAGTGCTGCTCTTTTCCAGCACCCGTGCAAAATCCCTACAACTTCCGCACAGTGTCAGAATTTGGATTTTGTATTGCCCATGATTGACTGGTGCTATTATTAGCTATCAAGTGCCAAACAAATAAAAATTTGCTTCAGCTTGGTCATACACTAGGAAAAAAAGGAGGAGGAGGAAGATACCCAGATCTCTACTTCTGTGTGCCCCAGGAAGGAAATTTGGATATGCTGTGGTGGCATATGTTAATCTTCTGAGGACTCAGGGCCCAGAGACTGGTTGATAGAGGTTTAGAGCCTGATTCTCATCTTGCTTACGCTGCTTTTACTCCAGTGTCAGTCCATTGACCTCAATGGCGTTACTCCTGATTCACACCAGAAAAAATGAGAAGAAAATCAGGCCCAATCTGTTAAGCGTTAAGTGCTGATGTACAGAGATGCACAGAGGAAGCCATTTCCAGTGCTCAGTATGTTTTATTGAGCCTACAAAACAAAAGAGCTATGCTACATATTCTTGAGCGCCACCTAGTGGCACCTCATCTATTAACTGACTATTTACTAGAGTTGGCCGGAAATATTACGACAAAACAGATTTTCATCGGAAAATTCAGATTAATCAAAACTAAAACTTCACCAAAATGTAGCAGTTTCAATGAAAAGTTCATCAGGAAGTTTTCTCAGCTCCAGGATGGCACTTACGGTGAAGAGAGCCCAGGATAGTCAATAGCCCTGTGATCTCCTAACCTGAGATGCAGGAGACTCAGATTCAAACACCTGCCCTGTCTGATTTGGAACAGGGAGTTGAACATGGCTTACCATAACCTCTTTATTCCATGCGGAACATAGGGCCTTCACCACTGCCTTCCATCTTTGGCAATCTCCTGCTGCAGTCTTAGTGTCTTCCTATGTCATTTTAATGACTTTCAGTTCTGCTCCTGTTGTGTGTTTCCAAGTTGCAATTGGATACCTCTTTGCTTCTTGCCTGGAGATCTCAGTCCAGCGCCTATCTTGTTATTTTATTCAATCCTTTCCCCATATGTGTCCTAGCTAGCTCCATTTTTTACCATAATTTCCTGTCCTATCAGTCTCTGTTTCATCCTCCTCCAAAGCTCTTCATTTGTTAATTTTTTTTCTGGCCATCTGATATTAAGGATTTGTTTAAGGCAGCTGTTTATAAATATTTGGAGTTTAGCTAGTAGGGTCGTGATAAGTCTCCAAGTTTCAGCACAATACACTAAGACAAGCTTTACAGTGGTGTTAAATATTCAGAGTTTAGTTCAGAGGGCAAGGTTTCTATTTCTTCAGATCGGCTTTAGAGTTGCGAAGGCATGACTGGCTTTTGCTGTTTTAGGTTAATGGTTTAATGTCCTTATCTGTTCCACCTGTTTTGCGTACAATGCTGCCAAGATACCTGAAGTGCTAGACATCCCCTCTCAATCCCAGAAAGTGTCATTTCTGTTGTGTATTGATTCTTGTGATTTTCATTTTCTCTGTGTTGATTTTCAGTCCTACTAACTACACATAGGTCGAAGAGCATGTGTTTAAGCTTGCATATCTCTGTGGATGTGGGATCACAGGTTGATACTGCCTGCAAAAATCGAGGTCTTGTAGGTTCTAGGAGAAAGTCCATAGTGTATCCATTGGTGGTTCTGTTTTCTTTCTTACTACCCAATCTGTTATCAGTAGCAAGATCATGGGTGACATAAGACATCCTTGTCTAATGCTGGCAGTTACTTTGAATGGCTTGGACAATTTGCTGTTGTATATTACCTGACATTTCGTATTTTCATAGAAGCACTGATATTCACAATTTGCTGGGGGACTCCATAGTGGCATAGCAACTTCTCAAAGACTGTTCTGTCCACTGTGTCAAAGACTTTTTGGAAATCTATTAAACTCACATAGAGTGGTGACTACCATTCAATCAACAGTTGTATGATGAGCCATAGGATTACTATTCGATCTATGCGTGATTTCTCCTGTCCGAACCCTGCCTGTTGTCATAGCCCTGACTCTATTGTTTCTTTAGTCTGTCTTGGATAATGTGTGTAAGTATTTACTTGGGTTGGACAGCAGCTGAATGTCTCTCCAGTTTTTTGACTGACTGAGGTCACCTTTCTTTGGCAACTTGACTATATGATCACTTTCCCACTCATTTGGTAATTTTTCTTCTTCCCATATCTTTTATAAGAGCCTGTCAAAATATCTAGTGTGTTCTTTAAATCTGCCTTAAAGACCCCTGCTGGGATTTTGTCTGGACCTAGTGCCTTTCCACTTTTTAACCAATTGTCTGCTGTCTATACTTCTAACCTGTCAGGGTAGTTAAGCACTGGAATAAATTGCCCAGAGAGGTTGTGGAATCTCCATCATTGGAGATTTTTAAGAGGAGGTTAGATAAACATCTGTCAGGGATGGTCTAGATAATACTTAGTCCTGCCATGAGTGCAAGGGAGTGGACTATGTGACCGCTCAAGGTCCCTTCCAGTTCTATGATTCTATTCTAGTGATAGGTCCTAATTCAGATGTTCCTCTACATCTGAGGGGGTTAACCACTGGCTCGCCATTCAGTAATTCACCTAAGTACCACCTCCATATATTGAATTGTTCTGCTGTTTGTGGTTAAGTTACCCTCACTGTCTTGGACTAGTTAGTTGGTATCTGTTTTTCTGACTGACAATGTCTAGTGCAGAGATTCTCAAACTGTGGTCCATGGACCACCAGTGGTCCGCAAGCTCCATTCAGGTGGTCCATGGATAGTTCCCTCTAAGGTGCGTGACTGGGAGGCTGCATACGAGACAATGGAGGGCCACCCACCTAATTAGTGGAGCCGCGCAGACGTGGCTCCACTAATTAGATGCCTGGATCCTGGAGAAAACGCACATGTAAGGTGAGGTGGTGGCCTTAGGGGGAATACGAGGTAGGTGGGATGGGGCAGTGGTGTGAGAAGAGTGGGTGGGGGGAATTTGAGATGTGCAGGGCTGCGGCGGCCAGAGAAAGAGGCGACTTTCCCCAGCTCCAGGGCTGTAGCTGCCTGGGAGAGACGGCCCTCCTTCCCAGCCTCAGCTCTGTGGCTGCTGTGGTGGGGGAGAAACCCCCCTCCTTCCCAGCCCCAGCTCGGGGGCTGCGGTGGCAGGGGAGAGAGGGCACATCCATCGCATTAGAAAGGTAAGACTACTGATATTAAAATATGAGTTTTGTGCTTTTATTTGTAGAACAAAAAATTATTTTTTATTAAATTTTCATTAATTATTATTAAGGTTTTTTTATATAGCACTTTTATCCAAAGCGTTTTACAATAGTTAGCTAATGGTACAAACATTTGGAAAGATCATTAAGTGGTCTGCCGAGACCCTCAACAATTTTCAAGTGGTCAGTGAAAAAAAAGTTTGAGAACCACAGGTCTAGTGATATCGTACAGTGTCTGCATGTTGGTTTGTGCTACTGTTGCCATTTTGTCTCTAAAATCTCGTTTGTCTTTCTTGGCACTCTTTTTGATTTCTTTGTTCTTCATGGCATGTTCCTCCCGAAGTTGCTGTTTCCGTATTCTTGTTCTTGCTTGATTTAGTTTGTTTAATTTGACATCTTTCTTTTATTTTCTGCCATGTCTCCTCAGACAGCGATTCGTTGTAGAGTTTCTTCCTGAATCCTGGGTTTTGGTGAAGGTTTCCTTTACATGTTCCCATTTGCCTTCTACTGTTCCGTCATCTTCATTTTCAAGTGCCTAGTATCTGTTTGCTAGCACAAATCTAAACTTTGTACTGCCGTCGGTTTCAAATGAGTAATGTTACAAGTGGGCATCCCTGTTTGGTTCTCTTTTTTTGTCACTTTTATTCTCCAGTTAGCTATCACTGATGCACGGTCCATTCCCATTGCTGCCTCATGCCTGCTATAACATCCTCTAAAGCTCTTCCCCATTTGTACTGAACTGTAATGAGATCTGTTTAACAAGTTATCCTATGACTAGTAAGGAGAGGGGAAATAGTTCCTCCAACAAGCAGGTCATTCATTCCACAAAATCAGCAAACACCTCACCATTTTCATTCATTTCACTGAGGTATTGTTTCCCCATCAGTATTATTCTCCATCCAGAGATCTGAACCGAATCTCCCACATTCCAAGCAAGTGTTCTCACCACTGAGCTACTGGCTATTCTGGGTGGGGAATGAGAGTTCTCATTTTTTTGTAAAACCTGTAGAAAGGACTAGTTTTTCATTCTATTGCAGAACACAAACAAATGTTGAAAGCTCTGATTTCTTTTTCGTAAGAAGGAAATTTTGTTTTCCAGCCAGCCCTACTATTCACGTGTATACGGCTATCACACAACTCTCAAACAAGCAATGCTTTCTCCTATCCATTCAGTGGGCTGGAAAAGCAAGCGTCCTGAGGTTTAACAAAGTAGCTTTTCCCTCCTCCTCATAACTACATTAAATAACCAACCTCATTAAAAAGAAAATGCTCAGCAGTAGGCAGTTTGGTCTTTCTTGCCAGTTACTTAGTTAATGGCTTACTAGTTATTATGGCTTTGTGACATCCACATTTGGGCTGAGATGTAAAGCTGAGGTCCTGCCCATCTGTAGTTGTTAAAATCACATGGCACTTTTCACAACAATAGGGGTATCAACTTAGGGGTCCTGCCCAGACGTGAACTGGAACAATCCTATTTTGCCTCCTTAACTGTAAATTGAGAAGCAACTAAAGGTCAATGGAGTCTCACCCTTTCCAGGAGGTGTAAGTATGGACCAATGTGTTTATTTTAGAAAGGATAACAGATTAGGCCTTGCTTATGTGAAGTACACTGGAAGATGCCTGCTCTATGGGTGGCTAATTGTTTAGAAGTTGGTCGTTCTAAGTAACTCAACTGTTTAGTACTGTTTTTGCTAAGGATTTGATTGTCTTCAATTAAAGGAACCCAATTAACTCGAAAATGACATATCTAGCCACGCATTTATATCCACTCTTACATGTAACACCTCAGAGCAGTGGCTGAAAGAAAGGAGAGAAAACTAGTTTGTTCTTCGTTTTTTGCATTTCACATCATGATATGTCTGTCAGTTTCACTGCTTCCATTGCATAGTCAGTTAGGACCTGATCCTGCAAAGGATTCATGTTTAATACCATGCCTGCTCAGAGAAGCTACACAGAGTGACGAAACAGCATGGCAAGTGTACATGAGCTCACCAACTGAAACAAGTGGCTGGTTGGTGTCTTTTAGGATTGATGAGCTACATGTGTCTCTGTAAAGGCTCATTGACTGAGATTTCCTGTAGTATAGGTTCTGATCCAAAGCTCACTGAAGTCAGTGTGTGTGTATATTTCCATTAATTTCAGTGGGCTTTGGATCAAGCCCATAATGCATCCAGTCAGGTGCAAGATGATGCTTGCAGAATGTTTGTTTGATTATTTTGATTGGAACTAGAGAAGAGCCAAATCAGTTCTGGATCTTGTTAAGTTTCACAACACACAGAGAAGTTAGATAAAAACATCAAATATTCTTGCTGGAAGGTAGCAATGTAACAAAGCTTTATTTTTAAAAATCTAGGACCATAACACATGAACCCAAAAGCACAGCGAGACAAAGCAGGCTGCTCCCAAAGGCAGAGAGGCTCAACTCACCCACTTTGTTCTAGTCTGGCTCTTTGCAGACTAATTCTGATCACTTGCTTCCCTCAGAACTCCCTGCTTGCAAGCAGGACCAGGAAATGCCCCAATGACCCCTGAAATTTAAAGTAGTAGATCATAGTTTTCAATAACCCGCAGATCTCAACATCTTTATCTCTGGGGAAGGTCAGAGCCGGATCTCATCCTAGTAGTCTCAGACATGTCTGAGTAAACATTCAGCCTCAAACCGATTCCGGTCCATATGGCTTTTCTCCTTTGTCCCAAGGTACATTCCGAGCCAGCACATTACCCTGCAGGTGCAGTACATCGATCATGTGGATGAACTCGCCTCCCTATTGAGCGTGAAACCCAACCTGCTGTTTCTCTTCCTGACGGATCCGAAGCTGGCCCTGGAAGTGCTCTTCGGCCCGTGCACACCAGCCCAGTTCCGTCTGACTGGACCGGGGAAGTGGGATGGTGCTAGGAAGAGCATCCTGACCCAGAGACAGCGCATCTTAAAGGCCACAAAAACTCGGGCTCTGAAAACCCACTCTGAGAACAACACCTGCCTGTTCTCCTCTCTGTGCATTAAAATAATGGGCCTGTTCGTTCTTATTGCTGCCATTTGTGCTTATTTTTAAGTATCCATGTGTTGGTCTCCAAGGCCACTGTGCAGCTGCAGAGTGAGAAGAGCCGTAATGTTAAACTGGCCTTTGCTTTGCATCACTATCGCGCTTGCTCTCCATGGCTTATTGTTTGCTTCCTGCTCAAAGCCGCCCGGCCTGGAGGTGTCACAGTAATGTTAGAGGTGAGAACGCTACAAATAGGAGCTTTGCAAGAGTCACTGGATCCATCTTTGGGAACCAGAGAGTGCTGGACTAACCGCCTCACCACCGTATGCGATACTAACCTGCCCTTGTTCTCTGTACACTTGGACTTTGGAAATGGTCATCTCCACCTTCTCTCCTCTACACTGTAGCTGCTGAAGAGGAGGCAAAGACCCAAATCCTGATCTCTGTGCAATGGGCTGTGCTCAGGGGAGTCCTTGGGGGTCACAGTAGCCCAGAGGCTACTGTGTCCTCCCCTCCTCCACAGGTGGACTTAGCAACTGGATCCACACTGATCCACCAGCCGTGCCCATTGCAAGTCAGGTCTGATAGGATCCTCTCAGAGCATGCAGCTAGCTTTAACATCATGCTTTCCATCCATCCCTGACATGCCCACTGGGGAGAAGAAGATATAGGGGCTGGCTATGCAGGTTCTTCATGCACTCTAGACTCCCCAATGCCAGGAGAACCGCCCAGCAAGAGACCTGTGGGTGGTTTCCACTCACTTTCCATGCTGGGGTGGTTCAAAGGGAGCAGAGCAGTGCAAAGAATCTGCCCCAAAGTATTGATTGTGGCTCCTTCATCTTCTTGAAATAAAATGTTCAGCCCTCTGGCTAGATACCACTGCTCTAGGCGCTACGCCAGTATGAGCAACAAGAATGACTGATTGCAGTGTAGTAGCCATCTTGGTCCCAGGGTCTCGCTGAAACAAAGGTAGGTGAGGCAATCCAATAAACACCATGCCGACCTTGCCTCTCTAATAATGATGGTCTCATTGCAAAATCAAGGGAGATCATGCACTCCACTAGAAGCAACTAGCTTTTTCCCCTTAAGCCAAGGGGCTGTGCTACCTTTCATAAAATAGTGGCAGGATCTGCCCTCAGGCTAACAAAAAGTCCCTTGAAAAATAAAAGTTCCTTAGAGAATACATCAGACAAATAGCTGTGACAGGACCCTGGGCTTTAAATTCTACTCCCTTGTTCCCTTAGTTTGGAGGGCTGTGGAATTCTCTAAATCTCCCCCCCACCCACCCACCCACCCACCCATCCACCCAATATTCTGGAATTGCTTGCTCTCAGTCAATCAACTAAATCTGTCTGCAAATGGAGAATTAAGTCCCCTCTGCTTTGGGTTTTTATGAGCTAAAGGGAGCCGCTGCAAGGAGCCCATTTTTCTGCCTAGTGGCCTGATTTGAGCTCAACACTGAAAAATATTTGTTTGAAATGTTTTCTCTTCGGCCTATTGGTGAGGATGTTGGCGTGAGACTATCGCCTTGGTTTCAAAGACAGTTAATCTGCTGTACCCAGGGGTACTGGAACAATTTGTATAGTGTGGGTGCGGAGAGACATTGAACCAAACTGTAAACCCTGTATATGATGGAAACCACTTCAAGCCTGGGGGTGGAGCAGCACCCCTAGTTCCAGCACCTATGGCTCCACCTGGCAGCACCCAGACTGGCACTCTTTACTTGGACACCGCTTCCATTGGCTTCGGTGGCAGTTTGGTGTGGGTAAGAAGTGCCGGATGTGGGCTGTAATACTGGGGTCTAATTTCAGTTGTTGGGCTTAGAGTGAGGGTATTGGGTGGTATCGATGGCCTGTGAGACACAGGAAGTCAGACTGAATGATCTGGTGGTCCCTTCTGGCCTACAACTCTATAACTCTGATTGGGTCCTTGCCGTTGCTTAGGAAACTATTGTGATGTCACAAAAATCATGATGTCAGATGGAGAATAAGCAGCAGTACCGGCTGGATTCTTACAAAAATTCTGCTTCCATTTACCAACATGTAACCCTATTGATGTCAATGTAGTGATCATCTGGGGGCAGGACTTTGCCACCTGTTTTTATGCAAGTATCTGTTGCCTTGTAGATTGAGATTGAAAAGCCAGAATGAACCACCGTGATCATCTAGTATGACCTCCTATGTAACACAGACCAGAGAACTTCCCTGATATAATTCCCAGAGCATAACTTGAACTAGAGCATAATTTACACATTCAGTTTTGATTTAACTCTTGTAAAATAGCACGCCATAGCTTACAAGCGCAGAATTGTTTCCAAACTGATTATTTTTTCCAAGTTTTCCATATGGCCTCAGTAGCTGTTTAAGTGTCTCTATGCACTTTTGTTATCATAAGTAAAAAGCTCAGTTCTTTATAACTCAGCTGTATGTATTCCTGGCTGAAATCTGATGTACAATGTCCTGATAATGAAAGCAATAACTGAGTAGTTTCATCTTGAGCTGGCTATTGTGAACAGCATACAAAACCATGTGTGACCAACCATTATCGACTTCCTGTGCCATCTGTACCAACCTACAAAAAATATCTGTATTAAGCCGGCAGCATGCCTGGAGGCTCACATTGTATTTCTGAAAATAAATATTTCCCAAAACAAATACTTACTTTTTAGCATTTATTTTAAAACCCTACGTAAGTGCAACATGAATAATAAGCAGAGAGGTCACTAAATCGGGGGCCTTTTTTAAGTCCTCAAAACGACAAACAAGTCTTTGGTGAAAATGATTTATGAATATAATTCTATTTTGCTTGGCGGGCCCCACTCTTCTGTATGTCAGCTAGCCCCCAACTTAGGGAAAAGGAAGCTCTATGAATTTCAGCTTCTTTTTTTATATCACAGCAGTACCTAGGGGCCCCAAGATTGGGTCCCCCGCTGTGCGAAGCAACAACAGCCAGGTCCCCCTGTATCAGTTCATCTTTCCTCCACATCTAGCTAGCCCACGCTGGCTATGACTGGCCTCCTCCAGCCACTGGGAGCCATCATGCCCATCTCAGAGCTTGAAGCTTGCTGGGCCAACCGGGATCTTTAAGGGTCTGTCTACAGTGCAGCAGGGAATGAGTCTCCCAGCCCAGGTAGACAGACTTGCGCTAGCGGCACTGATGCAGTGCATTAAAAATAGCACTATGGCCACTCTGGATCTCGAGCCCACCTGAGCCCCTACTCAGGGCCGGCTCCAGGCACCAGGCACCCAAGCCACAGCAGGGTGCTCGCCGCCCTCCCCCCGGCGCTCTGGCCGCCCTCCTACCGGGGCTCGCCGCCCTGCGCTCTGGCCGCCAGCGGGGAGAGCCGAGCCCCAGTCGGGGCTCGCTGCCCTGCCCCCGGCGCTCTGGCCGCCGGGGGGGGGGGGGGGC